AGCTACATCTATGCAACTCCACATGCGTGTTCATTAGGTAGACTTAAATCCGTCTCAGCTGATGTCCTTATTTCAAGTAATGAATCTAGTTCATTTGATTTGTGAACTGGAAAAAAATCCATAAGTAAAATTGAGCCCCCCCCCCCCCCCCAGAAAGAATAAAAGGGACCTATGAATTTGAGTGCTATAATAAAAGGTACATAATTTCTTGATTTTTGGTACTAAAAAAGTCCTCTGGTTAAGGTTACATACTCTGAGATTTCTTTGTGATGTTTTACTTCAGTAACCCAACTTGATGCTACTTCTCCTAATCTTAATAGCACACTATAACACAAAGCAGATTTGACTACAAAAAGGCATCCACTTGTTACCCTCTTGTTACATCCAAAGTCAAGTTTGCCATCAGTACAGTTGATGAGAGTCCTTCACTGCTCCTTTGTGAGAAAGGGTCATCTGCACACTCACATTATCAGACAAATACAACAGATACAGACACATCAGATTCCCTAGGCAGAACATTACAATTCACCCCTTGACTTCATCTTGATCACCATTCCAGATGGTGGGTTTGTCTCTCACTCTTTGACTTCTACCTCCCCCATTACACCCAGGTCCTCAGGCAGATCCACAGCCTACTTTCCCAAAGAGAAGGTCACATCAGGTCAAAGAATTCGGTGACTGTGCTATCTGCATTCTCACCTGAAACATGTGTTTAACTAATGCCACTAGCAGAAATTTCTGCATGAAAGAAATAGCCTGCGGTCACAGACCAGAAACTGCTGCACTGCCCACGTACTTTCTGTTTATTACATATCCCAGCTCATAGGGTACTTCACAACTCGGTTCAGGTGGCTTCAGAAATTTGTCAGCAAACAATGATTTATTTAATTTTATGTAAACAGAAAGTCAAGTCAGTCTTAGCAGAAACAGCCACAGTAACTTACAAAAACAAAATCCTCCTTTTTTCTTCCCTACTATCTGAAGACAAGACAACGTATTTGGTTTTATCATATAATAAATACACACATGCATTTGGCAGAATTAATGTAAGAAAATGAGTACAAACTTCAATTCTGAACTTCCTTTGCAAGCTGTAATGTGATGGAAACTACAGCAACGATAGCAGGATAACACAGGATAACAAAGTCTAAGCTGCAGCAAGCAAGAATAAGTCCAAACAGAGAGACCATAGACAGAGAAAAGAAAGAAGAAGGTTTAGCTTAGTTTACCTTTAAAAGGCCTCACATATACAGGGATCTCCAACAAGATACTGTCAACTCCACTGCCGACCCTTAAATGAGGTCTGGGAAGGGGTGGATCCTGGCTCCACCTCTTACAGTCACTTAGGTACACTGCATGCAGCTGAGCTCCCCTGAGCTGGTCCTGCCTTCCCACCAGGTGCTCAATCACTGGTTCAGGCCATGACTCAGCATTTCTGCTACACAAGCACAAAGAAAATTCAAACAGTAAAAGAAACACGTATCTGATGCTAGGGGTGGAGAAGATGGAGGAAGCCAGATGTTCACATTTCTTAAATTGTAGTCTCATGAAACTGCTAGAGTTTTGCATTTAGTACCACTGTTTTCTTCATGTCTCTATTTCCCATCTTTTTTTTTTTTTTAATGTAGAACTCTGTCACAGTTGAGGAAGTCAGAGTCCCAAAATATGATCTTCTACTGCTATTTCACTGCACGCTTTGTAACCCCTTTACTATCTGAGCCTGGGGAAAACATAAAGATTATAAACACTTTGGGAAAAAGTGTGTTAAACTAGTATATTTTCTTTAGCTTGGTATCCACTAAGTTATTTTTTGCAGTTCACATGAGTTCTTGTGTTTTTTTTAATATATGTTGGGATAAACGTTCTTCCTAGTAATGACAAAGCTGAATTATTGTGCTCTGTATTTCAAAATTGTTACCGGAGACTTATATTCTTACTTTGATATTTTGGGGTTGAAAACTTAGATCTCAATCTCATTTTCAGCCAAGATGCCAAATCTTACCACTCTCATTAAAAACAAACAAACAAACAAACAACAACAACAAAAAACAGATCTTGTGTAGCATAGGAGCTACATGGTGTTCCCCTTTGAGTTATGGTAACAAAAGAGTTGGATTTATGAGTGCAATATTCTAAGCTATTCATACATAAAGACAGAAAAGTAGACAAAGCTTTTGCTTTTATTATAAATTTTGATGAGGCTTAGTTGTCTACCTACTTTGCAGATGGAGGTCTGAAAATACAGTGAGTTATAAGTGGTTTGGGAGCTCAAAGATCTTGGCCTTATACATCTAAATTTTGCTCAAGCCTCACTCTAAAAAACAATCAATCAACCATGGAAACGAAACTTGAAGAGTAACATAATTACTTTTTATATTGTCAACAAAAGTAAATAGCTGCTCCTTTTTTTTTTTTCATAGATTCATTTATCATGCTTGATCTTAATATATGTATGTATTTTCCAAATATAACAGCATTAGCTCTTCTAACTAGCTTCAGAAATTCAACAGAATCCCGTGGAGATTCTTAGCATCTGCAATTTCAGTATTTTTGTAATTTGTAGACACGTATTTATTAGTTGTCAGTAACAAAAAGCAAGATGGTATCTCTGTCCTGAAGACTTTACAAAAGATATCTCTTCTGCTGGAAAACACAGCTTTATCTATGCACATAAGAAATTATGTATGACTCAAGCTCTAGATTAAAGTAATTATGACTAACATTCTTTTCAAATGTCAGTGCAAAATGGAAAACATTGGAGGAAGCTGTGTGCTTGGAAGAGGAATAATTCTGAAATGGCCAATCTGAAATAACGTATTTTGAGACAAGCAGTTTTTCAATGAAAGGTGTTTTTCAAAGGAGATATCATGAAGAGCAAACCAGTACTGATTTAATTCAGGAAAAGAGCTGTAATACAAAAATATTAGAGTTATGTTTCCCTTTCCCTCCTCAAATGTTCATGGTACTACCTTGTGTCTCAAGAATAAAAGAAAGAGAGAAAAAATAATGGTTACAGGGATGCCCACCAATTTATTTAACTTAAAAATGCGTAACATTGGAGATCACTTATCACTGTCATTTTGTCTTTCTTAGGGCTTACTACCTGACCTTACCATAAAACATTCTTCCTATACTGTTTGCTACTCTGACTGACTTTTTAAAAGAATCCTACTTCAAACTGTTTTCCCATCAGAATGTCTGAAGTTATTTTTTCCTGCCTAAGCATTCCTTGTATTATTTAGAGAGAGTTTAATTTCCCTTATGAGGGAAAATTAACTGTTCAAAGAAGATGAATAATTTTTTGTCATGTTTTTAGGCCTGAATTAAAGCTTAAGTCCTTCCAAAATACTCACATTAAGTTCTACAAGAATATGCTTTTCTTACTCTTTATTGTTCTCTTGTTTTTAATATTATTCAGTATACATAGGTCTGAGTAACACGTAATTTTGAAAGGTCTATAATTTGCTCTCTGTAAAGAGCATTATACCTCTGTAGAGGTATAGAGTATTCCTGTTTGGAGTTTAACAAAAGTACGTGATTCATGGGGAGTATTATTTCTGGAGCAGAAAACTCTTGCTCATTAATGTTTTGTTCCACTCCTACCAGTACCTGAAGCCTGTGACTAGCATATAACATTCGTAATTTGGCCTTCCAATACTTAAAGAGAATCTGTCAGCAGGAGGGAAATCAACTATTTACATGTATAGATAGAGAGAGGACAAAGGGGAACAGTCTTAAATGAAAAGAGGAGATATTTGGATTTGATGTTGGGGAAATTTTTCACTGAGGGAGTGCTGAGGTCCCGTCCCTGGAGATGCTCAAGGACAGGTTGGATGGGGCCGGGGCAGCCTGTCCCGGTGGGTGGCAGCCCTGCCCACAGCACAGGGTTGAGACTAGGTGGGCTTTGTGGTCCCTTCCAACCCAAACTGTTCTGTGATTTCTTTTTCTCTCATCCCCTTGGTTGCAGGAAAAGACTTGCTTTGGAGCTGAAGCTGTCAGGGGTCTCATAGGTGACTGGCTCTTTCTGATATGTGACATTGCTGTCCCACAGATGGGTTCTTCCATCCATTTTGCAGTGAGCCAGCTTCACACACAGAGCTATTTAATTTTGCCCACGATGGGGTGCTAGCTTGTAGTTCCACAAAGCTAGCACGCCTTTACATATCCACAGCATGATACTGATGTCAGTTTGCACCCACACATTCACGTTCACAAGCAAAATCATTGTCATCGTTTCCCATTGGTTCTACGTACCCAAACATGCTCCCTGCCGGTGCGCTGGGGTATTGTCATTTATCCTTCCATTCCATGTGACACCGAGCGCCCGGCCCGGCCGAGATGGGAAGGAGAGGGGGAAGGAGAGCAGTTTCTCTGAACACCGCGTGAGTCTGCAGAAAAGCCGCTGTCGCGGGACTGACACTTGCTTCATTGGGGTTTCTGGCGGATCTCGGGTTTGTAGCTGATAGCATCCCCGAGGGAAGCATGTGTGCAGCCAAAGCTGTTCTTGCACAGGCAGAGCGGGAGCTGAAGCCGTCCTGCCAAGGAGTGTTTGACAGCAGCTGGGCTGCTGTGTTACCTCAGCAAGTGCTTCTAGGGCTTGTTCCTGCTTTTGGGTAATTAAAGGAACCTCTGAATGCCCAGAAGGCAGCTATTGAAATACCGTGCCTTCCTTAAAAATGTGATGTTGTTCTTCCGTGAGAGAGTCACAGAGTCACCTACTCCTGCATTCTTCAAAGTCAGGATAGCTTTCAGGAGTGGATGAGAGAACCGCACGGCCTTCCTGCGGGTGCAGCACAGACACAGAAGAAAGCAAGGATTGCAATGCAGGTGATGAAGCATGAAAAGGAAGCTGGTGTTCCTTCTAATGAGCTGGGCTCAGCAGACACAGTCACTGAGCAGAAGGAGCAGCCTGCAGAGGAAATGAGAGAAGAAAATCTATACAGAAGTACTGGGGGACCTGAGGGGACAAATAGGATTAAATCACTTGCGACACATGATGATGATCCTAGAGATTGTGAAATATATTTGTCTGTGTCTGATAATCCTTCAGCAATGGAGACACCTGTGGACAGGTAAGGATTTATTTTTTTTATAGAGAAACTTTTTCTTTTGGAAAGAGGTGCTTTCAATATGTATAAACTATGCTAGAAGTCACTCTTGTTGTTGGGTACTAAGTTCTTATTTTATCATAGTGTTTTCAAGGTATATATTCTTCAAAGTAGATATTCTTGAAATTCTTCACAAACCCTGATGTATCTCAGTTTCTGGTGTGAAATAAGATCAGGTGTGGAAATTAAGATTTGTCCAATGCCCCAATAATTAGGGTAAGGACTTGGGATATGCTTCTCTGAAACATTTCAGCAGGCTGTATTCTCTTATGGGGTACTGTGTTTAGTATTTACCACGTTGTTTCTCTCTTTAATTCATACTTTAGTATTGTTAGAAATTGAATCTCAAGCATCTGCTTGAAACTTGAGTAACTACTAAACTGTGGTTTCCTACGACTTCACTACAGATGACAGTTTCCTTGCATTAGCCTGTCATTGACTTTATATTAAACGTTTTTGGTCAAGTGCTGGACTGGGCTGCCCAGGGAGGTTGTGGGGTCACCATCCCTGGAGTTCAAGAAATGGTTAGATGTTGTACTGAGGGACACGGTTTAGTGGGAATACTGGTGGCAGATGGATGATTGGACTGGATGATCTTGGAAGTCTCTTTCAACCTTGGTGATTTTATGATTCTATGATTTTTCTTGTTCTCAAGGGAAATATATGCAAATGGGTTAGCAATGTTACTTCTTATTTCTTCTTAAGAAAGCAGATTTGGATGTAGATGAGTGTAATTTAATTACCACCTGGCTGCACAGAACCCTGCCTTGCAGTTTCCGTAACTGCTTGTCCTCTTTCAGTCATATGAGATGAGTGAGATCACTGGTTGTTGCTCAACACCAGTAGAATATAGACTTAAAGCTTTGGTGAGCAACGTGTTTTTAGCTGTGTGCACAGATATAGTATTTATGTATATATGACAGAGCATTGTGGCTTTTATCTTTCACAAATCTGTCCTTTCAAAATTACAAAGAGACTCTAGTGCTCTGTAGACCCCATACTGCTGGCAGAAGTCCAGGCAGCTTCATTACTAACATTGGTGTCATAGTGAAGTGTTTAATGAAAATGTATAAGATGGAAATCAAATCAAACAGCCGAAAAGATTAATGACAATTATTTGTACTGCTCCATTATGTGCAGTGTAGTGAGGAGGACATTTGCTGTGAAGCAGAAGAGAGAGAAGATGCTACACACTTGCAAGACAAGCTCTTCAGGTATGTTTGAACTTTGTGGTATTTCAAAAATGGTATTACAATTAATTGTATATTTTTGTTCGTTTGCCATTTTTGAAGCATGTAGTTCCTTCCCCACCAATAGCTCTGTAGCAGCTCTGTTATTGTACAGCCAGTCTCTTTTGGCACCAAAGTGACTTTAATGTGATAGCATGTGTTCAGAAGTGCAAGTTAAAATGTTTTTTTTCTATGCTGTTGTATGTTCTGTTTCATGTTTTTTGTCAGTGTAATTTGCAAGTTCTATATTGACAGAATATAAATTAAGTGTTGCGCCTGAAATGGATATCCTGGAGTATTGTGAAAAGGAATGGAGAGGAAATACACCAGTAGCAAAAAGGATGAGAAAGGTATATTTTCTACTTTCTGACTTCACTGGGCTTTTTATTTCTGTGTTTCATAAGTGGCTTTCTACACAAAAGATCTTTAAAACAGGAAAGGTAATAGCAATATTTTTCAGTGTCGTGTCTTCAAAGTGGCTGGTAACTGCATGATAGTTTTGCTCATACTTATTAAGAATGTATGTTCAGTAAGGCTACTTGTGACAGGCTAGGATTTTTGTTTATTGCTCTTCTTTGTGACTGTTTTCAATTTAAATTCAATTTATTTCCATAAAATAGTAACCCTAAGGGCTATTGAAATGGCAGACCAGGTGGCCAAACTTTTATTTTTTTTGCTTTTGTTTTTTAGAAGGAAGTTAACTGAAGTAGGTGAATCACTTGATTTTTAAGATGGAGAGCTTTGTTGGGTAGGATCAGTTTTGTTTTGCTTTTAATTTTTTTTTCCTGATACTTATTTTCTGTACGTTTTTTGACAAGTTTTCTTGAGTGACAGCAGTAGAAAGTGAAGTAGAGATTGGTTTGGGTGTTCTTCATTTTAAATTGTGTTGGAGAAAAAAAATAGTGGTATGCACGAACATCTTGTTAGACGAGCTGAATAAACATACTAAGCTTCAGAAGCTCAATTTCAGCATTGCTTCTTCTGTTACAAGTGTTTGTATGGGAACAGCAAAGAGGGGACAAATGTGATGAGACATCAGAAACTTCTGTTTAAATGCAAAATTTCCCCTGAGACATAAATAAGCTGCATGTGACAAGTATTGGGTAAATGGCATAAACTATTGCTAGAACTTCTTGTTGTAATCATGCTGTACTTTTAGGTGTGTTTGCGTTTTGTTTCAAACCTAAGTGTGCTGGCTACCTACATTCCAAAGATATTTCTGTTGTGTAGTCAGACAGTCACAGACAGTTACCTACTTCAGTTCCATTGGTTTCTTGTTTGTTATTTAGCAGAACTATGGAAGTTTTGTTTTTGTAAGGCAAAATTCATGACATGAAGTCATACATACTTCCAAATCATTTGATTGATCAAACCTTTCTTTGTTTTTGAGAGAGCTTTATCATTAGGTGCTGATGTTCCAATTCCTTTATGATACTGGTGCCTTGAAACATCTCACTCCTTTGAAATGATTTATTAATGCTTTTGTGTTATTTGGATTTTTTATTTTCCTAGGGATATGAAGCAGTTGCACAGAAGTTTGCATCCATAAGGCAAGTACGAGGTGATAACTACTGTGCTCTCAGAGCGACTCTGTTCCAGGCACTAAGTCAAGCTACTCAGTTACCACGCTGGATGCAGAGTGAGGATTTTACTGCGGTATGTGTCAAGTAGGTCTTCTGACAGTAGACAATGTCTATAGCCTATTGGGTGATTTTGTGGTCTCACTTCTCTGTTACATGCTCACACATCAATATCTCTTGAATTGAGAAGCAGTAGTGTTCTGTTGCATTGTAGGTTTACAGTGATGGCTCCAACTTGGAATTGAGTCCACATCTCTGTAGTTCCTAGTTTATAATGTGTAAATGTTCTGGTACTGACTGTAACATTGCCAGTAGAGAGAACATAGTGCTAATTCGGAGTCCTTGTAAAATGAAAACTGGTTGGTCATGGCTGACCATGGCTGACATATGCTGCTCTAGTCAAATGGCTTACTTAATATGAAGCACAAACTACTGCACAAGTTCTAATGGCAAAATGAGTTAATAAATGAGAGCCCAGAACTGCACATACAATTGGTGGTGTGTCCTTCAAGAGGAATGTGAAAGCTCTTAAGTGAGCAGACATAGCTGTAGCATGGAAGCAGTAGAAAACCTGTAGCATGTGAGCGGGTCTTATACTAGAGTGTCATCTGCTGCATCAACTGATCTTCAGGTTGTATTCTTTCTAAGAAACTTTGTCCCCTAGTTCAGGGAGTTCTCTGGAAAGAAAACACAGTTTTTGTGTTCTGGGCTAAGCAGTTAGTGCTTCACCAAGAAATGTGTTTGGTCTGGTGGATATGGCATCTTTCATTGCTGCTTCCGTTGGTTCCAGCAAACTTTCAGACACAGTCACTGCTGTCTGCTGCTGGACTTTAAAAACAAGTCTTGAGTAATTTAAACTTCTTTTTCTCTTGCTTTATATCAGGGGATAGTAGTAGACCAGTGCTCTGACTGTGAGATGGCAAACCTCTGTGTCCAGAGAGGCTGTGGATGCCCCATTCCTGGATTCATTCAAGGCCAGGCTGGATGTGGCTCTGGCAGCCTAGTCTGGTGGTTGGTGACCCTGCACACAGCAGGGGGTTGAAACTAGATGATCTTTGAAGTCCTTTTCAACCTAGGCCATTTTATGATTCTATGATAGGATGATACGATTCTATGAAATATTACCCAGCCAGGTGTGTTCAGTTATGGTCATAGTATGACATGTTCAGAAAAACACAAGGAATCATGTTAAGATGATGAACAATAAAAATATAATAATAATAACGTGCAGTTCTTTCTTTCAGGATTTCTTAATTCAGCTGACTTTTCTTCCTCTGTTAACTTCCAGCTTCCTGAGAACTTGTTAAGCAAATATGACTGGATCAAGCAGTGGCAGCTAAAACAGAGACCAAGGAGAAAGACAGGAGAAATAAGTGATGAAATAAAAGAATATTTATTGCTACTAAAGAAGAAGGTTGGAAAAGTATTTGTTTGGTTTTCGTCTTTGTCAAATGGGAAAAATGACAAATAATTTTGAGTAGGGATGCTGTCACTAGTGAAGCAAAACATTTACCTATGTATACTGCAAAATATCAAAGACAGACTGGTCTTCACCGTTTGCTTTGGCCCAATGCTGGAATTCATATATATGCACCTGTGCAGAAGATTGTTAAAGATTCTATGAAGAAATCAGTGTAATAGAGTAACATTTTTCTTCTGTTATTTTTTGTGTTTGTATGAAGAAGTGATGTATATTACCATTAAGTCTTGTTGCTGCTTTGAACAGCTCATGGAAAGAAAAAAACCCGCAGAATAATGCTGAAGTAATTTCAAAGGAGTAGTTTTTGTTTGTTTTTTTGTTCTTTAACCTAGAATGAAAACAGGGCATAACAGTTTTCCAGAGAATTACACATCTACTTTGCTGTATTCCCCCTTCCCTTGCTCCTGAGAAACTGCAGTCAGAGGCTACCTGTACTGCTTACCCCCAGCTACCAAAACAACGTGGCCAAATAAGCACAATACAGACAGACATTCTAAATAACTGAAATATAAAGAATGTGAAGGTTGTGGATGCCCCATCCCTGGAGGTGTTCAAGGCCAGTTGGATGGGAGACTGGGCAGACTGTTCTAGTATTATTTATGGAGGTTGGTAGCCCTGCCTGCAGCAGGAGGTTGGAGCTTGATGATCCTTGAGGTCCCTTCCAACCCAAGCCATTCTATGATTCTATGAAGGACACAGGAAACAAAGCCCATTACCTTTCTCCTATGACAGCGTCTTTTGTCACCTTGTAACTATTTCCAGCATCCCCCTATTTTGCTTTTGTTGAGGACCAGATAAAGCAAAATCAGACTAACCCAGCATGACCTTGGCAGAGCAACAGCTGTGAGTATACTGTAGTGTTTCTAATAATGTCAAAGCCTTTCCCAAGTTAAATTCAGAGTACCTGTGCTGAACATCTGACAATTCATGAGTTTTGCAACTCCTGCACAGTGATGGCTATTGATATGTGTTGTACATTGTTTTTGTTTAACAGTGGAAGTGTGTAAGTGACATCAAATGTTCTGCTGAGAAACAAGAAGCTTGTGATGAACTGTTTAAAAATGAAGAGGAGGAGTACAGTCTGTATGAAGCTCTGAAATTCTTGATGCTTAACACTGCCATTCAGTTATACAATGATGAGAAAAATGGAAGGAGAGTTCCCATCTTCTCGTGGCTACTGTTTGCTCGTGATACATCTAGCAACCCTTGTCAGTTAATGCATAATCACCTGAATCAAATAGGTCACAGTGGAGGCCTTGAGCAGGTAAGGAGAGATTGTTCCTACAGCACTTGGGGTTTTTTTGCTTGGAGTTCTCAGTTTCAAGGGGCTTAAGAAATCATCCAGCTTTTGTTAGTCTGTCAGAACTTATTGTAGCCTGGTCTTTCATTGGGAAAAATTATAGTAGAACTACTTGTACTAAAAATCTTCCTTATAAACACTAATTTTGTGTGGCGGATAACATTTGGGTACCATTCTTTGGAAATAAGGTATTCTTTGGATAGTAGCAATTGTCCTAGTGTTAACAGTTAAGACACTATAATAATATGATAAATTCTACCACGCAGAGAGATGAGGTGATTCTGTGTAGTACATGTACTTGCTGAATTCTGACAATGATTGTCTTGTATGTTGTAGAAACTTACATAAAAGATCCCAAACAAAACCTAGCAGGTTGAGATGAATAGTTCTAAAGATTGTAGGTAACATCAGTTTAAAAAATTGATACGGTACTGCAGTTATACTCAGTAGTTTAAAGACACTAAAAGCACAGAAGTATTATGTTTGGTTCATGTTTATTGGCTAGTAACTAGCATAGATGAGACAGACTACTGTTAAATTAGCTGATTTGTTGTAAAGGTGAAGCTGCAGTGTTTTTTCTTAGCAGTGACCGTTCTTCTGACAAGTTTGGTCAATAAATGATGTTACATATTTTCACACTGACTAAACTTATTTCTTTTGGTGATGCTTGCTGTAAATTGCTATTTAGAACATGCTTGTCACTGTAGTAGACAAAATGAAGAAACTGGAAAAATCTTCTCAAGTCCATTTGATATGTACAGGCTTTGTAAGGGCTTTCTGTCTGCAGCTGATTGGTTAGAAGGTCAGAGTACTCACAGAAAGAGGAAGGATCACTGCCTGAAACTGCTCTTTGTCTGGTTTGGTGACTTAATGGGATGAACGTTGATGTGAAAGTACATCTTTCCTACCTGCTTGTGGCAGTAAGGAAGTGAGGTTCTCTGAACAGACCACCGTTTCTTAAGGAGCAGTATCTTACTATGCCATTTCTGCAACCAAAGAGCATGGCATCTTCGAGCTATTTATGCAGCAAGTCATGGATGGTTTTAAGCATCAAGGTACTGCATGTATATACATTCACATTTTATCAGTTATGTTTTTTTATTAAAAGTAACATCCAATTGGTATTTCTATAAGAAACACCTTGTAGAAGGCACATTAAATTTTACAAGTTCTATTTCTGCTTTGTTCCAATATAGGTGGAAATGTTTCTCCTTGCTTATGCTCTGCAGTACACCATCCAGGTGTATCGACTGTATAAGTGTAGTACTGATGAATTCATCACATTTTATCCCAATGATCCTGATGAAGACTGGCCTGTGGTGACTCTCGTAACTGAAGATGACAGACATTATAACATTCTGGTCAGAATGTGCCAAGAAACAATGCTATAAAGGGGATTTTGAACAGACACACCTGTGCTTATGGAGGTTTCCAGTGCTATTTTGAAACAGCATGATGATGAAACAGGTGTTATTAACCTTGCAACGACTTGAAATTCTTGTTTTAGAAGTTTGCATCTGGACTAAAATATCAAACAGGTTCTGTCTCAAGCATAATTCAAAAGTTTTGCAACTGTGGCTTCTGTTACTGATGTAAAATAACAAGTGGGAACATTTTCAATCTTTTAAGAGCTTGCTCTGAAATTCAAAAACTATAGATACTATTCTTTTAAGAAGTGATGATCTTCTGTAAGATGTGAGCTGTCTTGTGCCCTCTAAAATAATGAGATACTGATGAATTCAAATTTCTAGAAAAGTGTCCTAACAGATCGTTGTCTGCCTGCACACAAGTAATTTGTGTAAATCAAGGTCTGAGTAATTCAATGTCTACCTTGTGTTTAATGGTGCGAGAGAGGTACTTAAAAGTTTTCTATTGCTCTAGACCTGAGTGTCTAATTTAGAAGCCAGGCATCCGTTACACTGAAAGTTAAGAGTTCTTCCCCTTCTGACCTCTGGAAAAGATTATGACAAAAGGCATTGGCAGTAAAGGAATACAAATCTCATTTGTTAGCAAGTCACAAATTCAAAACCTGCACAAAATCAACTTCAGTTGTAGTAGCTGATATGAGATGACCACGTGCACGCAAACTCCATGGCTGTTAACATTACTGTTTCTGTAACGTTAAGCTTTGCCAGTAACTGCTGTGGAGAACACAGCACAAGTAGATGACAGTAAATTTATGGTGGGACTCCTCTGCTCTTGGGGGGAGCACGTAGGTGGCTCTGTGTTTCTGCTTAGGAATATTCAAAGTTGTTTAAACAGAAAAACTAAAGGGGGCAGTGCTGGCATACCTAAACACAACGGAAGAAAGACTTCACCTCAGTGGAAGTATGACCTACAGATGATTCTCCAAACAAGAGCGGTGAAAATTTCCATATATTTGGAGCTGTGTAATACTGAAGGCTGTTTAAGGGCTAGGTTTAAAGAGTTAATTAATACCTATCTTCCATCTGCTCCGGTGAAAGCATACAGCAGAATTTCTTCATACGAAGGAAAACAGTGGCCCAGATGATCTTGGGACTTGCTGGGCTTTGCATTGTTACATGTGGTTGGTTGGCTGTGGATAGAGCTTAGAGAAGTGGAGCAGCGAGCAGGGTGGAGCATTGGGGCTTGGTGCAGCTCTGAGAAGCTGGTGCTGAAACCAGCCCCACGGTGCCTGTGGGAGCTCACCCAGAGCTGGGCCGCCTGGGGAAATGCAGGTGTGTTCAGTTCAGGAGCATAATGCATGCAGATCGTTGAGTCAACACAGACAAAATCCAGGCCAAGTTTGTTTCTGCGGGACAGCAACGGCCCTACCACACATTTGGGAGAGAAGATGTAACTCATTTTGAACTGGGATAGTAATACAGTAAAACATCCCCATGTAGTTGTTAAGGGAGGTGGGGAGAGGGAGCTCTTGCATTGCATATCAGGTGCATAGCTCTCATCCCTAATACTTGGGTCAGTTGTGCATCCTGTTGTCATAAGACCGTGACTGGCCTTGGTTCCACCAGTATTTTAGTTGGCAGGAAAGGACTGAAAATGTTTTAAGATGGCCAAGTGTTCTTTAAGAATGCTCCCTTTTTTGGTAATGGTGGAAACCCATGGTGAGCACATTCTGGAAGCTTTCCACTAGATGAATCATTGTACTGTGGCATCGACTAACATGCTTTAAATCAGACAAACGCAAAGGTTGTTTTCATTTACACATTTGTTGAGGAAAATCAGAATCTGAGAAATGAAGAGGAAACTTAATTAATTCCAGCGAACTAAAAGTGGAGCAGGGGCTGGTTAGCACAGCTTCTTGGAGGAATGTGTCCATTTCTGAATTGGAGCTGATGAGGTGCCCTTATCCTGACTTTTCTTCAAGATGATAGGGTGCAAAAAACAAAGCAAACGACAACCAAAAACCAAGAAACCCACCAACAACCAAAACAAAAACAACAAAAACTCAACCGTGAAGAGGGAATTACAACTACACACACACAAAAATTCAGTAATCTTGTTACTTATTTTAAAATTCCTGTATCAAGATAGAAAACGCAGCTGCATTTTTTTCTCCACTTGCAGAACTATATTTAGCCAGTGTCTCAAAATGAAGACAGTTATTTGACACAAATTTAAGACAGTTCAAAGTGTGTTGGATGATGCCCTAGGCAGCCTGATCCAGTGGGTAGCAGCCCTGCAGGGAGTTGAAGCTGGGTGGGTGAAATGCTGCATAGTGATGAAAACTAGAGAGATAGTAGCAGGGGGGCGAAGTCTTTGCCTGCAGCAAGCGAGGACAAGCCCAAACACAGACAGCTGTGGATACAAAAACAAAGGAGGGGGAGAGGAAAAAAAAAAAAAAAAAAAATGCTGCTTACCTTCAAAAGACCTCAAGTACACAAAGATCTCTAGCAAGATACCCCTGCCTCTACTACCAACCCCTAAATGAGGTCTGGGAAGGAGTGGATTCTGGCTCCACCCATTCACTCAGGTACATTGCATACAGCTGAGCTCCCCTGGGTTGACCCCACCTTCCCACAGGTGCTCAACCAGCGGTTCAGGCCATGACTTAGCATTTTTCCACTACAGTGGGCTTTAAGGTTCTTTCCAACTCAAACCATTCTGTGATTGTTTTGGGGGTAGTTTACTTTCCTAACACAAAGATGAAGCTAAACAAGGTTCAAGAATGATGTAGGTGGAGAAATAGTGAGGTTGGACTCTCAGATTGTTCAACAACAGATCAAATCACTTTTAGAATGTGTAAATCTAATAATTTCTACCCACATTTAGGGCTGTGCAGTCCATATTTTATTTTTGCTGACCTTATTGCTGAATACAAAAATGGTCCTGGCCTTCTGCACCAGACCCTTTGGTTCGATATCTGAAGTCCTAATTTGCCACAGGGGCATGATTAAGGTCCCCTCAGCAATGAAAACCGGAGTGTTGACCATGACGTCTGCAGGCCATGTAGCTATTACCAGGGGACTATTGATCCCCAACCTCCAATAATGTCCCCCAAGGTGCAAGTAGGCCACACCACTTCAGTCCCACTATTTGGATTCTAAGCAGGGAGGCCCGTTTGGCCTTTCTTTGTGAGTCAATACAAAGGTCCTAGCAGCTGCACTAAGTGAGGTATAAAGGAACGTCAGTATCCCAGTATACCCCAAAATTCTTGCTGCTGCCTTGGTGTGCATCGTAGGGACCGGGAACTCCTGAACCTTGTCTGTTATTGCACTGTGTAGTACTTTGGTCTTTCCCAACCAAACTACCCAGGAATTTTACAGGAAAGCCTGGTCCTTGCACCTTTTTTGGGTTTATAGTCCACCCTTTCTCTTGTAAATGAGTTAGTGAGTCTACTGCCTTTCCTAATGCCCCCAGTGAGTCAGATGTCAACATGAAATTATCAATATAATGGTACAGTTTGATGTTATTAAGATTATTCTGGTCTGCTAGGTCATGTGCCACTAAGCTATGACAATATGTTGGTGAATGTACATACGCCTGGAAACTGAAAGGTCCACTGCCTGCCTCCTCGTGTAAATGCAAACTGACCCTGCAATTCTTCATGAATGGGAATACTGAACAATACATTTGCCAAGTCTAGGACATGGTGGTAGGTTTGTATCTCCCTACTCAATGTGCCCATCAGGGAAGCAATATTAGATACACTACATGAATGAGCAGTGTGATCTTATTTAGTTCTCTGCAATCCACTGTCATTCTCCAAGTGCCGTCTCACTTCAGCCATAGATATTTTATAAAGATTGAGGTGTGCTTAGAAAAAGAAAAGAAAAATGAAAATTATTTATGACTGCCTACACTGTTCCTAAATTACAGAAATTAAATATATATATATATATATATGTACTTCTAGCTAAAAGGAATGTGTTAACTGTAAAACACTTCTTGAGACTTAAGTATGACTTAAGACTTTTTTTTTTAAAGTATTGCACTACATTCTGGGTTTTGCTTTTCTGCAGCAGATCTGGGTGTTTGGTTCTGGGGCAGTTGTGCAGAGCTGAGAGTATCCACTTGGGTGACAGCCTGCTCCGTGACACTTCAGTGCCGTGTCTACTTTGTAACCTTCTCTGTCTCCAGCTGGCAAAGTTAGTTTTCTGTGTCAGAGTGTAATGAACAACAAGGGAAGACTTGCATCTTGGAAGAGCGTGGTCCTTTCAGCAAGTCAGTAGGCAGGACTTAATTGCAGCTTCTGTTCTTCCCATCTGAGCCTGCCTTCTGTATTTATACTGTTGGAACTGTTGGAGAGGGGAGCAGAACTAATAATAAGGGCTCACCTCTGGAACTGTTGTTGATTTGCTTAGATAGTAGTGCTGGAAAGAAAGGGGAAAGGGAATCATTAAAACAACGAGGGAAAGAAAACACTTTAGGCATCTGACAGTTAATTTCCCCTGCATCGGGTAGCACTTGCACAATGGCAGGCTGTAGTCAGATTGTTTCTTGCTTTTTGTCTCAGGTTCTGGTCTTCTCCCCAGCCCAGAGAACACCCAAGCGGAGCAGCAACACTTGGCCTCCTACATACCCTCATATACTGCCACAGGAGGTGCTGGCTTGGTGCTTTTAATCTGTCAGGTGCTTCCATTATGTTTGCTTGATTCACTCCCCTCACCCTCACTAAGGCTTTTGTCTCATCAAATCATGCTGAAATTAATAATAATAAAAAAATTACCACCACCACAAAAAACAAGCAAACAAACAAACAAACAAACAAAAACCACAACAAAACAACAACAACCAAAAAAACCAAAACAACAACACCTTATTAAACTAACCAAAACACCCAGTGCTTTTCCAAAAAGTAGTAGGTAATGGGAAACATTATTTTAGAAAGAAAGGGCTGGTGAACTTGGAGCAATGCTTAGGACTCTTTAAAGGAAAGCTTTGACAACTTCTTAAATCAGTCAGATGGTCAGGCAGCCAAATGAAGTGTCCAGGTATTCCTAAATCCCTCA